GATGTAACACTCGGTAGCACGTCATGAGTTCAAGTAGTTCCTGTTATGTCAAGTTGCGCATCAGGACCAACAATATTGTCGTTCGCCGCATAGCTAGCAGATCTACATATCCGGTATTCAACAACCTCATGCAAAGGAGATATAGGAGTCAGCGTTCCGGAACGCCGATAGACAATGTAGTAAAAAGCTACTAATTGTTTTACCAAATGCAAACTTTTAAAGTCTTTGTTCATGATGGGAAACGTGGTGACCGGCCAGTAACAGCAACGGCTGTTACCGGTAAGTCTTCTAGTGTTAGACAAAACTTCATGTTCAAAGTTCTTTGTGGGAAGGGGTTTATAAGTTAGTATAGTCCCAGTCACTTTAACACGTCGGCCAATGAGCAAACGCCGCAAGTATTTTTTTAAAAACATGTAGGAAACAATTACTTGTCCTAGACCTCAATATTAGAAGCTTTTTCAATTGGGTACTTATCGTGGCTGAAGTTCGATATACTATTTTGAGCTCAGACTTTCTGAATGGTTGCCGTTTTTAGCGACAGGATGGCTTCATTGTTGAGGATCCTCGCTATTTTTTGTAACCTTAATTTTGATACACTAGTAACCTTCAGAACAGGGCTTCATCTAACTCGGGGTTGTTATTTCTTATTTTGCTAGATTTCAACTTATCGCCTCTTATTTCACCACTTTTCATTTGATCTTCCTAACAGACTAGTAAATCAAGGAAGTTAATCAACAAAGAGCTCCACTATGTCATCATGACAGGTGACCTTTGTTTGATGTCGTTACAGCACACTATCAGACAGTTAATTTTATGGTATAGCAACTGGGGCCGGTGCGTATTTGTGCCAGGTTCTTCGTTGATGATGACTGACTGATCTCTGCTTCATCTGACATCACATATCGTTGTCGTTTGGAAGAATCCAGTTGCTTCTGTCCTTGTATTCTACACTTAGCAAGGTAGTGACCCGGCTGTAGCCTAAAAACTTATGCAAGCATAGTGTAGCCTTACAGTAAACAAGGAACAAACACCCGAATTTCTTAGTAAATACGCACAATAAGAAGAGGACCACTTATCTTTTGTTACTGAATATTTGTCTTCTCAAAAAATAATGTACAACTCTTTTGACCAATAATACGTAATACACCTTGTAAAAACTTAAGTGTCAAGATTTTCGAATTCTTCTAGAATAAAGCTAGGGGTGGCCCAATAAAGACACGGCATACGTCCATAGAGTCATTCACAATTTGACAGCCATATTAATAGTTGTCGACTACCTGATTGGGTCCGCGTAATTATCGTGACCAATGGTTAAAGACTTTAAATGACACAGCTTAAAATCGTTTGGAATGGCGCAGGTGCATCCGTTTTTGTCTTTACCCCAGATTCTAAGCTCTCGAACTACTCATAACTTGTGTGTGTTTCTGTTTCACTAATTAAAATTTTCTCCAATTGTATCTTTGGTCCCGACCGTTGTTGCTACCTTGACGTGGTGGTCGGCTTGCCTATCGTGATGAAGCAACCGAGCTATACTGACTGGAACAATTGTCCCTCAAGGTCCTACCACGTCAGAAAGGTAAGACTAAAAGAAACAAATCCAAGGTCCGAAGGCGAAGTCGTACTGTTGACTGTACAGAGGTGTGACAGCAGTAAGGCCCCCGAATGCCCTGGTACGGCCGAGAGTGGGGTGAGTCCGCTCTCCCTCTCGAAATACTCTCACACGGCCGCGCGTACACAGCCTCTGCCAGGGAAGTCCTACTCATTGCCTTCTCGTGGCGGGGGTGTTGTTTGCGAAAATGAGAGGACGAAAAGCGAATGTCCGGTGCTTTAACCGGATCACAAACCAATGGTGCGTCCTCCCTCTGCATCCCAAGCCTGGACTCAGATTGATCACATCGCGATCAGCTACCGCTGGCGTGGTTGTGTACAAGACTGCCGCTCCTTTTGGAGTACCTATCTGGACTCTGACCATGCCTTGGTCTGCGCCAATCTTACCTTACTTTTCAGTGGCCAACGAAGTGACCGCCACCAACGGATTGATGTTAGCAAGCTGGTTGCAAATTCTGTTGCTAGTAAGTATCGAACCGAGCTAGCTTCTAGGCTTAGTTACAAAGGTTTGGGAGCTAGAGAGTGTTCCAACATCATGGAATGGGTTGATAGTTGGCCCTATATTTAAAAAGGTTTCACGTCGCTTCTGTAACAGCTATCGGGGGATAAGTCTACTTCCGATTGCGTCCAAGCTATTGGCTTCCGTCATACTTCGTAGGTTGTTCAAAACCCGAGAAAGATTGACTCGCGAGGAGCAGGCTGGGTTTCGTTCTGGTCGAGGATGTATTGATCATATCTTCACCCTCCGCCAAATGTTAGAACACCGCCATACTTACCACAGGCCAACAGTCGTAGTGTTTCTTGACATAAGGGCTGCCTTCGATTCGTTGGACAGAACTGTTCTCTGGGATTGTCTATTGAAGAAGGGTGTGCCTGAGAAGTTTATTAACGTCCTCAAAGCCCTATACAAAAACACCTCAGGCAGAATAAGGGCATACAACCACCTCTCTCCATTGTTCCATTCAACCAGTGGGGTTAGACAGAGTTGCCCAATCTCACCATTCCTCTTCAACTTTGCCATCGATGACATTCTGGAAACAGCTCTGATGGATGTAAGTAATGGCGGTGTGGATCTGCTGCCTGAAGAAAGACTTCTCGACCTTGAGTATGCGGACGATATTGTCTTACTGTGCGATAATGCCCAAGCCATGCAATCCGCACCTAATCAGTTGGCAATCAGTGTCCGTAGGTATGGTATGTGCTTTGCACCTTCGAAGTGCAAAGTACTTCTACAAGACTGGCAGGATTATAATCCTGTACTCACCCTGGATGGTGAGCAGATAGAAGTAGTCGAGAAGTTCGTGTATCTAGGTAGCTGCATAAGTGCTGGTGGGGGTGTGAGTGATGAGATCAATGTACGTATAGTGAAAGCCAGAGCGGCTTATGCCAATCTGGGCCACCTTTGGCGCCTTCGTGATGTCAGTCTGACTGTAAGAGGTCGGATTTACAACGCGTCGATGAGAGCAGTTTTGCTCTACGCTTGTGAAACCTGGTCTCTCCGAGTTGAGGACGTTAGACGACTCTCTGTGTTCGATCGTCGTTGTCTCCGAAGGATTGCTGACATTCAGTGGCAACACCATGTCAGTAATGCAGAGGTTCGGCATCGTGTGTTCGGGCACAGAGACGATAATTCAATTGGTGTCACCATCTTGAAACACCGACTTTGGTGGCTTGGACATGTTCTACGAATGTCGTCCCAGAGAATTCCACGTCGCGCATTATTTGCCGACTCTGGGACAGGTTGGAAAAAGCGGAGAGGTGGTCAGTGCATGACATGGTGTCGTGGTATGAAAGAAAGCTGCAAAGGACTGACTTGTGTTGGTCCTTCACGGCTCCCTGGTTGGGGTCCGAGAGATGGTGCTACACGGTGGCTGGAGACGTTATCAGATATGGCTCAGAACAGAAGCCAGTGGCGATCCTGTTGTAACCTTCTTTTACTTTCTCCATAAAAAGTGGTTGTATCTTCCTTTCCTGAAAGATTTCTTCCGATTGTAGCTTTCCGTTCCCACATTATTGCTATTATTATTATTGCACTACCTTACACCAATCTGTCTGTTATTGTTCCCCTTTTCTTTCACGCTCCTTAGTTTTTTTGTCTTCCTTGTCTTTAAATTCTCATTGTTTTGCGTGCGCATATATATTTGGTGCCCTCTTGTACCAATATTTATGTGTTCAAATAAATAGACTAAAATCGCTTCATATCTTTCTTTCTACTAACTAATTCTTTCTTCTTGTACTGTATGCAATCTTTCTCCTATATATTACCACCTTTGACCTAACCACTCCTATGATTCCGGTGTTCATCTTGCTGTGCTAATGAGGTATGGCAACCTGGACCGATCCATATATGTGCCTGGTCCTACGTTGTAGCTGACTGACTGACTGTATCTTTGGTACCTAATCTTTTCTATTATTTCTGGTACTTTTACTACCTCTACAATTCTGGAATTTAGCCTAACAATTTCATCTCTCTGTGCTAATGGAGTATGGCAACTTGAACCGATGTACATATGTACTAGGTTCTACATTGCGAATGATCGAAACTAACTACGGAGAATAAAACAAAAGTTTTAAGTTGTTCAGTGTTGCCTCTATCATTTCTATAGGCTAAAGATATATTGAGAGTAATTCCTTTACGTCTTATATGATTCTATTTTATTATTTTATTTGAACACATAAATATTGGTACAAGAGGGCACCAGATATATATGCGCCACACTTATATGATTACATCTAACTGAAGTACACTCTCGAGAATTGAGCCTAGGATTACCAAGTACGTATCTAATATGTCATCCCGTGAACTATTATTATTGTTTCAGTTATTTTATGCACCATTTTATCTAAAAGGAACTAATGTAAACTTGTTATACTCTTCTAAAGTTAATTTTAGAGTACCTATTATATTAAATGATGGGTCGTTCTCACTCTCGCTACAGCTCTTCAAATTCATCAAATGAAAAGCATAAAACATATCACACAAAACCCCACAGTCGTTCACATCGTAAGAAACTCAAAAGAAAATCAGTCAATCGGAATGCATCGAATAGCCGACAAAAAGATAAAATACTCAATCTTACTCAAAAAGTGTGCAATATGGTTGATGCTGATAAGAAGCGTAATCGTTCTGAAAAGCATAAGAATAAATTGACATCTTGTGGATGTCCATATAATTGTGAAGACGAGATACTGACATTACGTAACAGCATTGAGAACCTTCGTTCCGGTTTAAGTCTTTGTCACAAAGAAAGGCCAATTTTTCAGCTCGATCATTTGTTGACGATCATTATCAGCTTCTTTCTGAAGCTTGGATTTCTATCGGTCCATCTAAGCTCAAAGATCTAGTGTCTGCTAATTTACTGTCGATATGTGCTCGACGAGAGCGTAGGGATATGAAACATTCATCTGGTAAAAATTCCAAGGTTTCATGTGTTGTCCAACCCTATGTATCTTTTGACGGAAGTGACTACCAACTTGGGATCTCGGAGTTGTGGCATAGATGTATTCAGGAGCTGAACGACTTGTCAATCGACCAAATAAAAGCCATTCTAAGTGGAACAATGAACCTTGATCCGGTTGAATTAGTTCGTCATCCTAGTAACAAAAGTGAGATTGTCAGCTCCGAAAAAGATAACTGCTCTCATTCTCCTAAACTAAATCCAGTATGTGAAAAGAATTCTGAAATGCAAGTTCACGATGCTGATTCAACTACTGCCTTGTGTTCAGTGAGTTTTTCAAAGTAAATTTTCTTGAAAATTTTTGTTGTTCAATACGATGGTCTCTTACTTAACACCCCATGGTCAGTCCGGTAGCTGTATTAGTTACCCACTGAATCCTTTTGGATTCTACCCTCATTTTTTATGGATTCTCTTTAAATTTGATGTCAAATAGTTCACTTTTTAAAACACATCAGGTCGACCAAATGATATTGTTAGACCTCAGTAAGATTAAAGTCTAGCCTATAAATATATCTTGAAAAATAATGGTCCAGCGTTAGAAGTTAGATTGATTGAAGTGTTAGCTGGAATCTTTGGACTTGTTGCAATCTCACCTGACTGGTCCCGATCACTTATTGTTTCAGTCTATAAGGATAGAAATCCTCTTTCGACAATCACAACAATCATTTTGAATAATATGATAATGTGATTTACGGATCACTATACAATTTGGTTAGGGGTGAAGATATGATCAGTATATTCATGATTAGAATAAAGATTCTCTTGCTCTCCACCAGTTAGTCTTTAGTGGATTTAAATAATCTGTCAATTACCACAAAACGATAGTTTGGACGCAGTCAAAATTAGATTTATCCTCATGTAATCGTTGGGTCGGCAACGTAAACTCTGTTTTAAAGATGAGGATAACTATAGGTCCCTTCCAGGATGTTTGAACACTAATTACCAAACTTCCAAACAACCCAGTCAGTTGTTTGGCCAGAAGTTCCCAAACATCCATAAAGTATCCCGAGAGTAAGTCAACTGGGACTGGCGATTTGCAGCTCTTCAGGGATTGCAGTCTCTTGTGAACTCCCTGTTCATCAAGTAAATCAGTCGTCACCGGCCATAAACGGTAGTCTGATTGATGTTGCTATGGTAGCAGATAAGCTGAACTGTTCATCGTCCAAGAAGTTGGTGGATGCTATTGATTTCTTTGCTATCAACTTCACAAATTATTTCACTCACAACAGGCTTTTTGCTGCCAGTAGTTTGGATGAGTTAGAAGAGTTTCCGACGGTCATCAGATTCAGCTGCAGCTTTCAACTCATCAACACACTCCGACCACCAGGCTTCTCTGACCTTACGCATACTTTGCAATATTGTTCGTAAGAATTCCCGTTTATCGTGAAACCGGCAGTTGGGCGAAGTAAATTGATATGCCTTGAGAAGTAGTAAGGAGCCCGTAGAGACCCGGTGCTTACGTGTAGGTCATTTCTTAGAGCCACAAGCAACTTCACCCACCATTTTCATGACGTGATGAAAATGCAGTCAGTGCTCATCCATACTTTTCGTCGGGTTGATAGCTGAACTAAAATTGAACTCAATTTGATATTTGATTGGGACATCAATCAGTTTAAAATGATAAATATGTTGTCTATTGAAACACAGACTAAAGGTCCAGCCAAGTGCTCCAAAAGGAGCGACAGCTCTGTACAGAACCACGCCAACGGTGGCTGATCGCTATGTGATCAATCTGAATCAAGGCTTAGGATGCAGGAGTATCGTGCCAGGTGACACATTTGCGCTGACTGCGCCGAAAGTCGGTATTAACCAGAAACAGATTGTTGTCTGCTGGAAAATTCAATCTTCGGCTAGGACTGTAATATTTGTGGAATGGACTTTCTTAATGGTAGAACTCATCCTTGATTAGATTGGGATTACAATTTATCGAGGCGTAGGCGGATATGGCGAAAAGACATAGCTACTCATACCGATTTCTTCTCACTTTGACGGAGCTTCCTTATTTAAGAGCGCATAATCAACTGTGAGTGGAAATCTAATCAGTTAGTGCTGTCTGGGCAACATCAGCGCCATCAAGAATAGATGAAGATGCCACAGAGTCCCTGAATAAAGGTACGCGGAGCAAGCATTTCTAGTTGACGGATGGAGAGTGAGTATTCAGCACTTCACTGGGGTCTTAGATGTTGATCTCAGATAGACAGCAGACGTTATTGTTTATTATTTATTTGAACACATAAATATTGGTACAAGAGAGCGCCAATGTATATGCGCCACACAAAACATTCAGAATGGGAAGAGAAAAAAGAAGGTAAGGTGCGCATAAGAAAAAAAACACAATAACAACCACAGATTAGTGTAAGGTAGTGTAGTAATAATAATAATAATGGGGGGAACGAAAAGGTACAACCAGAAGAATTGTTTCAGTTAAGGAAGATACAACCACTTTTTATGGAGAAAGTAAAAGAAGGTTACAACAGGATCGCCACTGGCTTCTGTTCTGAGCCATATCTGATAACGTCTCCAGCCACCGTGTAGCACCATCTCTCGGACCCCAACCAGGGAGCCGTGAAGGACCAACACAAGTCAGTCCTTTGCAGCTTTCTTTCATACCACGACACCATGTCATGCACTGACCACCTCTCCGCTTTTTCCAACCTGTCCCAGAGTCGGCAAATAATGCGCGACGTGGAATTCTCTGGCTAAATTCCAGAATTGTAGAGGTAGTAAAAGTACCAGAAATAATAGAAAAGATTAGGTACCAAAGATACAGTCAGTCAGTCAGCTACAACGTAGGACCAGGCACATATATGGATCGGTCCAGGTTGCCATACCTCATTAGCACAGCAAGATGAACACCGGAATCATAGGAGTGGTTAGGTCAAAGGTGGTAATATATAGGAGAAAGATTGCATACAGTACAAGAAGAAAGAATTAGTTAGTAGAAAGAAAGATATGAAGCGATTTTAGTCTATTTATTTGAACACATAAATATTGGTACAAGAGGGCACCAAATATATATGCGCACACAAAACAATGAGAATTTAAAGACAAGGAAGACAAAAAAACTAAGGAGCGTGAAAGAAAAGGGGAACAATAACAGACAGATTGGTGTAAGGTAGTGCAATAATAATAATAGCAATAATGTGGGAACGGAAAGCTACAATCGGAAGAAATCTTTCAGGAAAGGAAGATACAACCACTTTTTATGGAGAAAGTAAAAGAAGGTTACAACAGGATCGCCACTGGCTTCTGTTCTGAGCCATATCTGATAACGTCTCCAGCCACCGTGTAGCACCATCTCTCGGACCCCAACCAGGGAGCCGTGAAGGACCAACACAAGTCAGTCCTTTGCAGCTTTCTTTCATACCACGACACCATGTCATGCACTGACCACCTCTCCGCTTTTTCCAACCAGTCCCAGAGTCGGCAAATAATGCGCGACGTGGAATTCTCTGGGACGACATTCGTAGAACATGTCCAAGCCACCGAAGTCGGTGTTTCAAGATGGTGACACCAATTGAATTATCGTCTCTGTGCCCGAACACACGATGCCGAACCTCTGCATTACTGACATGGTGTTGCCACTGAATGTCAGCAATCCTTCGGAGACAACGACGATCGAACACAGAGAGTCGTCTAACGTCCTCAACTCGGAGAGACCAGGTTTCACAAGCATAGAGCAAAACTGCTCTCATCGACGCGTTGTAAATCCGACCTTTTACAGCCAGACTAACATCACGAAGGCGCCAAAGGTGGCCCAGATTGGCATAAGCCGCTCTGGCTTTCACTATACGTGCATTGATCTCATCACTCACACCCCCACCAGCACTTATGCAGCTACCTAGATACACGAACTTCTCGACTACTTCTATCTGCTCACCATCCAGGGTGAGTACAGGATTATAATCCTGCCAGTCTTGTAGAAGTACTTTGCACTTCGAAGGTGCAAAGCACATACCATACCTACGGACACTGATTGCCAACTGATTAAGTGCGGATTGCATGGCTTGGGCATTATCGCACAGTAAGACAATATCGTCCGCATACTCAAGGTCGAGAAGTCTTTCTTCAGGCAACAGATCCACACCGCCATTACTTACATCCATCAGAGCTGTTTCCAGAATGTCATCGATGGCAAAGTTGAAGAGGAATGGTGAGATTGGGCAACTCTGTCTAACCCCACTGGTTGAATGGAACAATGGAGAGAGGTGGTTGTATGCCCTTACTCTGCCTGAGGTGTTTTTGTATAGGGCTTTGAGGATGTTAATAAACTTCTCAGGCACACCCTTCTTCAATAGACAATCCCAGAGAACAGTTCTGTCCAACGAATCGAAGGCAGCCCTGATGTCAAGAAACACTACGATTGTTGGCCTGTGGTAAGTATGGCGGTGTTCTAACATTTGGCGGAGGGTGAAGATATGATCAATACATCCTCGACCAGAACGAAACCCAGCCTGCTCCTCGCGAGTCAATCTTTCTCGGGTTTTGAACAACCTACGAAGTATGACGGAAGCCAATAGCTTGGACGCAATCGGAAGTAGACTTATCCCCCGATAGCTGTTACAGAAGCGACGTGAAACCTTTTTAAATATAGGGCCAACTATCAACCCATTCCATGACGTTGGAACACTCTCTAGCTCCCAAACCTTTGTAACTAAGCCTAGAAGCTAGCTCGGTTCGATACTTACTAGCAACAGAATTTGCAACCAGCTTGCTAACATCAATCCGTTGGTGGCGGTCACTTCGTTGGCCACTGAAAAGTAAGGTAAGATTGGCGCAGACCAAGGCATGGTCAGAGTCCAGATAGGTACTCCAAAAGGAGCGGTAGTCCTGTACGCAACCACGCCAGTAGTGGCTGATGGCGAAATGGGAATTTTCACTATATTGATCGCGATGTGACCAATCTGAGTCCAGGCTTGAGATGAAGATGGAGGACGCCAGGTGGCACATCGACGATGACTGTGACGGAAGTTAGTGCTAGCCAGAAACGGGTTGTGGTCTGTGCACAGTTGCAGTAGATGGTCTCCGTTATCTGTCCTGTGACTAACAAGTCCCCATCGGCCACCTAAACGACTCTCTTCTGTGCCTAGACGCCCGACCTGGGCATTCAAGTCTCCGGCTAGTACTACAATGTCTGTCGAACGCACTTTCTGGAGAAGAACAGTTAAGTGGTGGTAGAATTCATCCTTGGTTGTGTCCGGGCTGCAGCCTGTCAGGGCATAGGCGGAGATAACGAAAAGGCATCGTTTCTCACGCCGATTTCTTCTCACTTTGATGGAACTTTCTAATCTAATCTAACAGCACATAACCGACTGTTAATGGGGATTCAATCGATTAGTGCTGCCTCAGCTCTAGCGCTTAGTGCGACACCAACGCCAGCAAGACCAGACGAAGATGCCACAGGGTCCCCGGATAAGCGCACGTAAAACAAGCTTTTTGAAGCGGCAGATGGAGAGCGAACTTGTAGTACTTCACCAGAGTCTTGAATACGGGTCTCGGATAGACAACAGACATCGATATGAAGACTTTCCAAAGACATAGCCAGCCCTATCTGTTGTCTAACCTGCATAAGTGTGCGAACGTTGAAGGCAGCCAGTTTGAATGGTGCACGTGGTTTTGGAAAAACTGGTTCATTATTTGTGTTCGGTGGTAGCATACAATTTTCAACCGGACAGTGACTCCAGATCGTTTAGGTAGAACAGAGTTTCCACCGTGGGCGTTAATTATTAACCTTTATAAAGGCAGTCAAACTACCAGTTGTTCGATCTGCATTAGTGTGTGAACGTTGAAGAAGGCCAGTTTGAATGGTATACGTAGTTTCAGAAAGACTGGTTTAAAATTCATATTCGGTGGTAGCATTCAACTTTTGATCGGTCAGTGACTTGAGACAATGTAAATAGTACAGAAATTCCATTATAGGCGAGGTGCTGTATAAGCTGAATAATAAAGGAATAGACAAAATGGGAATTAAGGGGAATAGACAAGTGGCTCACTGTAAAACAAAAATGAATGTTACCAAAAACTTGTGAATATGGTTTCCAGGGACGCAAATTGAAGCGAGAGTATTTTTTCAGTCGTAATTATCTTCAAGTTTATATTTGGGCAAGGATACTGTCTGGATGTCAAGATCAAAGTAGGTGGTTTTTCTGTATGGCCACTCTGAACCTTTTGCATAGAAGCTCGATCCACAAGTCAGAGGAGCAAGGTTAGAAGGTCCGATGTCATAGTACCAGGTAACCAAGAATAGGTTCATACTTCACTTGATCCTTCAGGACCGTGCAGCCCATATTCACCATTGCGCGTTCCAACTTCCATAGGTCTATATTCCGTACTCAACAACCCTGTTTAAGTTTTCGACTTTCATTTTCCATCCCCCCACCACGAGAGGGGTAGTGAGTAAGACTTCCCTGGCAATGGCTACATAAACGTAGCCATATGAGAACATTTAGAGAGGGAGAGTGGGCCCTCACCACCTTCGGTCGTACAAGGGCATTTGGGGGATAATTCAGTGAAGGTTAAGTGATAAATTTGAACCCTTAGTATCCAATTATTCTGATGCACAATGTTGTCTGTCATAAAGTAGGTTAGTAAAAGGCTATATATGACTAAAACAAGACAGGAAACCAAATTTTCCGTTTGGAATCATCGGATTGTCTGAAACAGTTCACAGTGATGCAGTTGGATTTATATTCTATATTTCTGTACATTTTGAGCTATGTTTTATTTCTAACTTTTCATTTTATTCATCCTCATTCATCCCTTGTGAGCTGTATTTTCATTGTCACTTTTTATTTCGGTTGGCATTTTATTGCTTTCTTTTCATTTTCATCTAGCTAATCCCCTTCCTCGATGTGTGATGTTAAGTGTAACAACTTATTCACTCATACACATTTGTGTCCGGTCGTATTTTGGCCATAACTGACTGGCTGTCCCCTATATTGCGATATCATGTTCGCTATTAAACCAAATGGTTCTAATTTCAGGAAATATAATGGCTTAGCTTTCCAATCTCCTGTTATAGAGGGAACTGATGAAAATGCAGCTACTAATAACAAGGCTTCTTTATGGATCATCCTTTATTTCCAATTAATTTGTGTATTTATATTTATGGATGGTTTTTTATCACGAAGTGATGTCAGAAAACACTGAAAAGCTTTTTGTTCCGCCTTCGGAAATCACCATCAGTACACACCGATAACCTCACATGAGACCAAATCCAGGACTTTTAAGTTCGGGGGGGGGAACATAGTATTTTTAAACCTTTACACAAATATTTTTGATAATACCTAAACAAATAAACCTGTACGTGACAAATGAGTTACCTATTTTCACATAATCACTCTATAGTCAATGTAGTGACAATTGCTTACAATATGCGTTGGTTATTGTACTCATTAAACACAAAATCGTATTCCAACAACATCTTTCAAATAACATTACGTTTATCATCTGGTCAGTCAGTCAGTCAGTCAGTAACAACGTAGAACTTCGTACATACGTACATCAGTTCGAGTTGCCACACCACATTAGCACAGAGATGCAGTTGTCGATTCAAATCCCGTAGTGATAGAGGCGGTAAGAGTATAAGCAGTAATCGGAAACATTAGGGTTTGAAGATGTTATTCAAAGAGTATAATCCAGTGAAATAAATTGGGAAAGAGAAAAAAGAAAGGGACATGAAGAATTCAGAAGATTAGAATTTGGTAGAACATAAAGAATGGATGCACCTGCGCCATTGCAAACGATTTTGAGCCATGTCATTCAGGGTCTCTAACCATCGGTTGCTATCATCTCGTGGTCCGCAACCAGGTAGTCTACACCTACCAACATGGCTCAGTCCACTTGTCAGTGACTTCATGGACTTGTGCCATGTTTTGGTCTGGCCACTCCTAGCTCTCTTCCAATCTACTCCTACACCACAAAACATCGCACATCGAGGCAGTCGGTGGTTGGGCATTCGTAACACGAGTCCCAGACATCTCAACTGATGAAGTTTCACTACGTCATCAATCGACTTGTCATCCTTACTTAACACGCGTTTCCCAACAACTGAGTTACTTACTCGATGGTCCCAGGATAAACGACCAATGTTTCGAAGACACCTGTGACCAAATACTAGTAAACACCTACGAATATCATCTACTCTTACCGACCATGTTTCATTGCCATAAAGTAGGAGGAACGAACTGCTGAGCAGTCAACCCGTCCTTTGGTTGGTAGACGGATAATTTCGCCTACGCCATAAATGACGCAAGTTGGTAAAAGCTAGTCGAGCATTCTGTATGCGTGCTGAGATTTCGTCACACACCAGACCACAAGGGTTGATGAGACTTCGAAGATAAGTGAAGCGGTCGACGCACTCAACTACTTCGCTCCCTATCACTAGCTCGGGTGTCGATGTAGCCCAATCCTGAAGCAACATTTTGCATTTCGAGGGAGAGAATCGCATGCCGAACATGCATTGTTGCTTAGAGTAGTCAGAAGACTGCATTTTGTCAGCGTCTTCACCAAATAAAACTATGTCATCAGCATATTCTAAGTCAACAAGTGAACCTCCCGGTAGGAGTTCAACCCCTGGAAATTTAGATGAGGAGAGTGTTATCTCTAAAAGTACGTCGACCACAAAGTTGAACAAGAATGTGATAATGATTCACAACATTCTTTCTCTTTATTGTTAGTTCTGTTGGAAAAATCGTAATATCAACGTTTTTATATTTGCTTTATTGAATAGATTACTTTACTTAAGAAATATTTCTGTTTTCCTAGGTACTTGAAAATCAATTTGATGTTCAAAAAGCTAATGATCATGGGATTATTGATGATAAACTTTACACAAATTCGGAATCATTTACAAAATCCTGGTCTTCTACAAGTCCAAAAGACTGTAGAATTGAGGAAAAACATTCAACTGGAGAAACTGGCTGTATTTCAGATTCAAAGGATTTAGTAGTATGTATTGTTGTGTTATTTATTGTGTTAAGGTTATCAATCACTTATGAAGTTCTGAGCCCGATTCATGGTAGTTCATGGTCTCTTACTGCTTATTATTCTATAGCTCTATATCATGTCCTTTCTAATCATACTGTTATAAGATTATAGTTTTAGGCTGCTTCATACTACTGATATGTTGTATTAGTAGTACGATGTATTAACAGTAGGAAATGTATGCGAAAACACAAATCACAGTATTGCTCATTCATTCACACAACAAAAATAGCAACTTATCGCTTTAAAAAGTTCAAATTATCTACTCCCTTAGAATTCATTCGTTGTAGTCATACCGTTGTGTAATAAATAAGCTAGTTTCATTTAGTCACTTATATTTATCATTCTTAACAAAACTTTGGTACAAATGGACCGTTCATAAAACAAGCCATTTAACTGGATATTTCAAAGTCGGGACACTAAATCCGTTATTATCACTGTATCCAAATACATTAACAGACTTCATGATTACTTTTACAGAATGTTACTATTCAGTGTAAACAACCATTAGGAGGCACAGATGATAGACCACTTAAAGTTGTCGATTATCTTAAGCTCATCTGGAAAAAGACAGATTGTTCAAAAATAGATCAGAACCTCTCCTACTAAATCGTTGTGCACCACCTGACTTCAGATATTAATCCTTTAAACCTCCAAATGCCAGACAGTCAGTCACAACGTAGAACCTGGTTCGTCAGTCAGTTAGCTACAACGTAGGACCAGGAACATATATGCATCGGTTCAAGTTGCCACACCTCATTAACACAAGATGAACAGCGGATTCTCAGAAGTAGTTAACTCAGTGGTGGTAATATATAGGAGTAAGATTGCATATAAGGATACAGTACAGGAAGAAAGAATTAGTTAGTAGAAAGAAAGATATGAAGTGATTTTAATCTTAGTTTAAGGGAAGACAGGGAGTGTATGCACCGACGCCATTGTGATCGATTCTGAGCCATGTCACCAAGAGTCTCCAACCATTGGTTACGACAGTTGCGCGGACCCCAACCAAGTAGTCTGCATCTACCAACATGGCTCAGACCAGAAATTAATGACTTCAAGCACTGATGCCACGTTTTGGTTTGGACAACCCTAACTTTCTCCCAGCCATCTCTAACACCCGTTAGCATTGCACGACGTGGTAATCGGTGTTCAGGAATATGTAACACGTGGCCCAACCATCTCAGTCGATGAAGATTCACAACCTCATCAACTGATTTACCATCAATCCATAATGCCGTGCGTCCAACCTCACCATAACTTACCCGGTGATCCCAGCAGATGCGATCAACATTTCTAAGGCATCTGTGGTCGAATACTAGTAGCTTATTAATATCTTCTACTCTTAATGGCCACATTTTGCAACCGTAAAGCAGAACAGAACGAACTTCCGTGCAGTATACTCGCATCCCTTAATTGATAGACGGATATCTCACCTTCTCCATAGGTGACGTAAGTTGGCAAAAGTCAAACGAGCTTTTCAAATCCATGCTGAGATTTCGTCAGAAATCAACCCATTAGGGCTGATCAGACTTTCAAGATAAGTGAAGTTGTCAACACATTCGATTACCTCACTCCCTATCCTTAGTTCAGGTATTGACGCAGGCCAGTCCTGAAGCAACATGCGATTCCTTGTCAAGTCTGAATGTAGTCTACATTCATATATCACTTCTTCATTTTTCATCCGTTTTGATTTGGTACTCACCACTGCTCACGATCACTATGCCTATATAGAACGTTATACTTCACCAAGATACTCTTATCTGTATGTCTTTATCATATGCAAAGTGTTCTCAAAACAACGTCGTTCAACTGGTCTTTAGAATGTTTTACTTTATATAGTTTTCTTTATATTAAGCATTCGGCTTTGAGCTAGTTGGGGACAGGTACGAACTTTACTTCACATGGTCTAATTTAGATCAACCTAATAAAGTATCATAAGTCGTATAATTTTTACAACTTACCCATCGATAACTAACAAGTATATTCATACGTTTATGTTGTTATTGAAGTACATAGTTTACCTATACTTTACTTATTTCAGTTTAAACATCTCCTTAATTGCTTTAGACTTATTTCAATTTCCACCTGTATACAATTTTCTTTTTAAATTTCATTATACATTGTAGGATTTAGTTCATCAAGAAATTACAGAACTTGAAATGCGAGCACGAGCTATTCGTGCAATGCTTAAAACTAAATCGAATCAACTCAAATCATAAATTTGTAAATTTATTCTTGCAGCATAAACATGTCATCTATCACTTGTTTCATTCGTCTTTATATATACATCGTTATCACTATGGTTATTATTATAAAACATTGTTTTCACCAAATCGTATGTTTCGATTTCTTCACCCCATTTTATTTCCTTTCCCCGTTTGTGTGTGTGTGTGTGTTTGTATATATACATCCCGGTTATTTTCCTACTATTTGTATTATGAAACAGACCAACTATTCACGTATATACATATATTAGTTTAATTCTTACATCATTTCTATTTGTTGTTTATATTATCTACTATTCGGTTTGTTATACTCAATGAAATGAGATTATGTACATTAATAAAATTTCAATAAATATATACTTGCCCCCCCCCTTCCAGCCAAACAAGTTGGTGAAGCCTATTAGGTGCTTCTAGAGAGAAACAGGCCACATCAAAGCACGACACAACTACCGGGGCTAGAATAGTTGTTTCTGCAATCCTTTGGAGTTTGCCCAATGATGAGCAACTCCATATGATACATGCACCACTTTTTGTCGTTTTCCATTCCAAATGTAATTGTGCTGTGTTTCTCTGTGGGCTTCGTAATCGATTGGTGGGTATAAGTAAGAGTGGGTGATTAGCCCGATCTCCACCACCCGGGTTGCCGCTTACGTTAGTTCATGAGTTATTCGTCTCATTATCCAGGAGGCACGACGCGAACATGTGAGTCGGATTTTGCCTCTCAAATTTATACTTAACTGTTTACTAATAAAATAATCATTTGTTTATGTATAAAAAAATTGAAGTCAGACCTTAACATCATTGGATGCGTAAGTTCTATGGTCTAGAGGTTAAGTGTTCGCTCATGAGACCAATGGTCATAGGTTCAAGTTCAGCATGAGGTATCGTAGATGCGCATTTCTGAGGAGTTTTATACTAAAACGAACCAGCCATCCATTAATGGTCTAGCTTAGATTAGCTCATATTATTCAAGTGTTAAAAATTATTACAATCTCCACAAATCAACATTTTGATAATAATTTCTCTCTACAGTCTTCATTTTGTTAGGTCTGCCTCGACGTGCGATATTTTTTGGTGTAGGAGTAGACTGGAAGAAAGCTAGGGGCGGCCAGACCAAAACATGGCACAAGTCCATGAAGTCACTGACAAGTAGACTGACCCATGTTGATAGGTGTAGATTACCTGGTTGGGGACCGCGAGGTGATAGCAACCGATGGTTAGAGACGTTGAATGACATGGCTCAAAATCGTTTGCAATGGTGCAGGTGCATACACTCTTTGTGTTCTCCCAAATCCTAATTTCCTGAATACTCCTTGTCTCTTTCCAAATTTATTTCGCTGTATTATACTCCTTGAATAACATCTCCAGACACTAATTTTCCCAATTACTGCTTATACTTTTACTACCTGTACCACTACGGGTTTTGAATCGACCACTGCATTTCTGTGCTAATGTGGTATGGCAACTCGAACTGACGTACGTACGTACGAAGTTCTACGTTGTTACTGACTGACTGATTTTGTTACGTCCCGATAAACATAATGAATGGTAACTTTTGGGATCAATTTATGGATCAATGCTATACGTACATTTTTATCGTATGATTGTTGAATAACTAAACTATTCATATTCTTCTTATCATAAGCTTTATTTTGACGTATGAACTATTATTATACGATTTATCATTCTTGTTATGCCCAGTCTATTAATTATAGTCTCCCATAATCACAGACACTTTCGGGTATATCTTGTACCAATGTTGTTTCCTATTTTATGCTACGTTGTGGTCTTTTTGATTGGTATATAAACTCAATATGCTTGAAATAAATAATTCATATTGCAGAGGCTGAGACTAGTGTTCTGGACTTAACTGGCTGTGCTAGGCGGAAAGCAGGATCAATCAGGACCCCAGATTGCTCGCACGTGTTTTACGCGTCCTTCGTCCGATCGATAATTCTCTGCTCTCTGATTGGCGGCTTTGGGTCACAACATATTTAAGTTAATTACATTCTAAAAATCCTATAGATATTAATGTATTTCAGTAATTGCCTTTGTTTTCATTCTGACAACAGTAGATTTCTAATAGTTGCCTTCGTTCTGTAATGTTTCATTTTTGTCTACACCACTAACAATAATTTCACTAAAATTGTTAATGTATTTTTACGCATGAGTTCGAAACCCGCGGGCGGGATCGTGGATGGGCACTGTTGAGAAGTCCCACAATAGAACGAGACGGCTATCCAATACTTTCAGGTTTTCAATAGTGGTCTAACATCAATCGATTCATGATCTTGATCAAAAACTTAATAATCTCCACAATTCTATAATGATATTCCTATCATTAATCTAGCTTGATTATGAATTAATAAACACCTGATTGAAGTGATTGAAATGATAAATACTCATGAAACGAGGTCATGAATGTCAACTAGATAGATGTATAGAAAAATCAAATTATTCATAATGACTTATAGATTTGTCATTTATGTAAACTATAAGTGTAATTAACTAAGGTGATGTGTGGTTATAAATTACTAGTCAAGTATAAAAACAAAAAGTCAATAAACAAACAATGGGGCTACATTTCATATTGTTATATTACTGATTTTCATCCTGATTAGTCTCAATTAAAAATAATAGTCAGTTAATTATAGGTAGGTTACTTAGTTCTATTCATTTATATTGGTTTTTCGGATCTTCCTATTGATGTTTAGGACTGGAGTTGATCAGTCTATTTTGATATAAGTTCATCTTTTACGGATTGTCTCGACTGATCAATTTCAGTCCTCAACATTAGTAGAAAGATCCAAACAACCAATATAAATGAATTAAGTTTCACCTCGTTGCACAAACTAGTGGTTATTTGGGCTCAGTGGATAACGCGATGGCGCTTAAAGCGAATGGTACCGAGTTCTTGGCGGCCCGTTGATCTGACTCCAATTTGAGTGAACTAATGAATATGCCATGAACATAAATCCTCCATTTAGCTCCGTATATTATACATACGCTATCTTCATTTGTGTGATGGCGTTAGTAAGAAGCCAAATACCGGTTGCGTTGAATGAATTTATTCCAGGCACTCGTTTATCCAGACAGATATTCTGAATCAAAAGCAGGAAAGCGAAGCAAAGAGGAGAAGGTAAGTTGACCAATTCAGTTAAATAGAGTGTGACTCAATTTTAAAGGCGGATAATTGGCTAGCTGAAAATGTGACTCAAGAAGAGTAAGTTAATTGGTCCTTCCGGAAATTAGAATAACTGATATGGGCTTGACACAGTACTAAACATTACAGTTCGAGTCCCAGAGTGAAAATTGACTGTGAGATGCAAGTACATCCAGCTAATGAGTCCCAAATAAGACGAATTTCACTGTTACTGAGCTTATCTGTAAAAATATACTACTTATGTGCCTATCGAAACATCAAGTTTGACATAGTACATCACTCTTATAATCATTTAGGTTTATAAATCGATATAATGACAGATACTTATGTTCACTCTTTTGGCCTTCTGGATTTCTTTTTATTTGAAATGGTAGAAGGATTTTTATGGCTTATTGATCATATAGAAAAGAATAATTTAACTGAACTAATAAGAGATTTTTCACTTCTAGGTTTTTGTAGGGTTTGAACAACAATGATGATTGTAAAATGTCTATTGATTATCGATTCATACGTGTATACTCCTAAGAGCCTATTTTCTATTTTCATATAAGGATAAATGTGGGAAGAACGTTGTGTATAAATAAAAATATTCTTGTTATGACTTTATGTCCGGCTAGTTATCACGTGATTTATCCACCAATCAAAATACGAATTATACAATCTTAGCACTGTGCCAAACCAATGGTGTTCGATCGGTATGAGCAGCCAGCGTCCTTATTGGTCCTATGTTTACCTAGCCCGTCCATTTGAGTCCAGAATACCAAATACCGGCTTCCAATATGCTAATCGAATCATTTATTTCAGACATACTGGGTTCATATATCAACCAAACAGACCGCAACACACCATAAAATAGAAAATAACATTTGTACACAATAAAGCCAAAAAGTGACTGTGAACGTGGGAGACAGTAATCAATAAACTGAACATAGATTAAGAACAATAAATCGTACAATAGTAATCTATAGATCAAAATAAAGCTTATAACAAGGGGAATATAGATATACATAATCTAGTTACTGAATAGTTATACCATGAGAATATATAAATAATATTAGTCCATTAATAAGTCTCATACGTTACTCGTAATGTAATCTTCACTAGGATATAACAATTTTGGCATCTGAAAATCTATCGTACACTCTTAATTATAGTTAAACAATAATATTTATCGCCTCCAGATGGTCTGGTATGAAGGAGAATGGGGAGAGTCTACTCTTTTCGAAATGCTTTCAAATGACCACGCGTATACAGCCACTGTCAGAGAAATCATACTCACTGCCTTCTCGAGGTGAGGTGTTTACGAAACCAAGAGGACGAAAAGTGAATGTCCGGCGCTTTAACCAGGTTGGTGGACACAAAAGGTCCTTGACTCCAAACCAATGGTGCACATGGGTTCCGGGATCCTGAGAGAACAGATGGCATATGTATCAATCGTTGGTCACTGGCTACCATGGGTTTTCCCAACGTTGCTCCAATGCCTTGTGGACATGGAAAAGGCAGCGACAATAGGTAATAGCGGATAACTGTTCAGACTTGTTAAGGAAACCCGTATTAGGAACCAGATTGTTAGCGAAACAATCTCAGAAAAAGGTGGACATATTATACATTCTCATTCCAGGAGATTGGATCGATGGGCAGGACACTTTAGGGATCAGTTCAACTGGCCTTCAGCCACACTTCGGTTTCCCAAGATCTCCAGTCAACCTGAATGGCAAGTTAATTTAGGTCCTCCGACTCTTTACGAAGTTGAAAAAGCCATAGGAAATCTGAAGCGAGGGAGAGCAGCAGGCCCTGACAGGTTTATGTCTGAAATTTTTAAGGATGGTGG